TTGAGGAGTGCAGATAATGTGCTCAGCTACCACTGGGAAGCCAGGAAGGCTGCCTCCACCCAGGGGCCTTGGGGCAGATGGCATGAACTTGAGAAAGCACAGCCACCGAGCGCACGGGAGCACAGAGCTACTCCCTGCGCGGTTCAAACAGCAGCAAAAGGCTTGGCTGGTTGGTTTCTTTATCAAATGACCAGTGCGATGGCATCTAACGTGCTCATCGGATTGGCAAGAAAACCGAGACACACGTAGTTCAGGGTCTAGCCTGGGATGTCCGCTCACTTGTGGTGGCATGGGTGGGCCCGAACCTAGATGGTCAAGGGACTCTGCACTTGGCCCAACTTGTTTTCAGCCTGTGAAGCCAGTTAGGTACCGAGCGGGCCTCAAGCCAGTCAAGAGCCTCGGAAGGGTTGAGACCGCCTGCCTCTTCAGGGTCCCACCAAGCCAAGTGCTCAGCACAAAGCCCCCCACCCCACCCCCACCCAAGAAGCATCTGCTGAGTGATTGGTGAACTTTAAAGCAACAAAAGGAAAAATACTGCATCCAGGAACTTGAAGAGCCAGCAACCCTGGAGTTCGGCACTTTGATTGTGACATGCTGACCCGTTGGCAAAGCACGGGAGTGACAGGTTTCCATTTTTCTGAGACACAAGTGCTTCCCACTTTATGATTTTAAGAGGTCTGCAGCCTCTGAGGTCTACATCTTTGTTTTGAAATGCTTTGGGGCCCTCCCCACATCCCATCCCACCCCACCCCGCCGTGCTACACAGTAAATAAGAGTGAGTGCAGGGTGTGCAGATTTCAAAGCCAAGCTAGTGGGAAAAGCCCTCATCATGCAAGGGTGAAGCTGCTCCTCCCCCGGAAGAATCCCTCTGGGCGGCCCGGACAGACATGGTGCAAGGAAGCTCAGTGTTGCAAGGGAGCGCGCACAAATCAAATTGCTGACCTCTTTCTCTCTCTCTGATCGTGTAAGGGTCTTCCTAGCCTTTCTTCTCTGTTTTTTCTTATTTTTGTCCTCCTCCATGCTGCTTACTGTGGCCACCAGGTTCTGGATTATTGCTGAGGCGGGGGTCATGTGACTGCTCAGTGACCAATCCGAGAGGGCAGGGCAGCCCCATGGAGGGTTGACAGGATTGGCGGGAAGCAAGAGGGAATTTGCTCCTGGAGTTGCATATTCTAAAGAACTGGTCTCCACAGGTTGAAACTCGTAATAATCCCACTGCAAGCCACTGGAAGCCATTCTTCAACTAAGTCCCAGTCTTTAGCAGGGCGTAAGAGATCGGTATCTGTAGAACATGAAGTCAGGAGTGGATTCTTCATGGTATCGACATTTTCTCGTTGCACTAATCATCCGAGACAGGGAGCTTCTGAAATAATTTTCTTTCACAGTTAGTCTCCTCAACGTCGTTACGTAACATACACAAAGAGTTTTCTTCCTCACTTACTGCATATGTTTCAAAGGTGGCTCATCAGTGCGCACATACCGGCTGCCATCACGCCAATGCCGACTCACAGTGACCCTACAGGACAGAGTAGAACTGTTCCCTAGGGCTCCTGCGGCTGGAAATCTTTACAGAAGGAGAGACCTGAACGTTCTCCCTTGGACTACCTGTGCGTTTCAAAGCGCTGACCTTGCAGGTAGCAGCCCAGCCCGTAACCCACTGCGCCACCAGGCATGCTACATACACAGACGACCAAGATCACATCTTGGCAAACACACCACTTCAGAACCAGTGAAGGCCAATTTTGCCTTAGCAATTCTCCGTTGTTTTTACACCTTTTCCTTTTAATTTATCTGGAAGAAGCAATGTACACATTGTCTAGGCCCAGGAAGAGATGCACTCAGCCAATTACCTCAGCAATCGCTTCAGTAAATAAAAGAACGTGCCTGTCCAAGAGCAGAGCTGGCTTCCATTTTGCAGACATGCTGCACCTTGGCTATCAGGCTGCTTTATTGCATGGGTCAATTTAGTGAGGCACTGGTTTCCGGTGGCGTGGCCAAACACTAGACTAGCTGCTGTTTTGCAGCAGAATCTAATATCTGGCTATGGCAATTTAATGTAATGACTTCCCACAATGTAACCTAATATAATGTAACCAATGAGTGAGTTGAAAAGAGTATTTCCTTAGGGTGTGCTCTACCTGGAGACTAGAAATAGATATTTGGGCAGAACGAACTCTCTCCACTCTGCATTCTATCACCTAACCTTAGATCTTGGGACCCAAGTCTGCAAAAATCTCTAGCCTGCTGCTGGCTTACAGAGTTCGGATGTGCTGCCCCTGCAATCATGGGAGCCAACTTCTTGAAGTAAATCTCTCTCTCTCTGTGTGCTATTAGCTACTGCCAAATCAGGCTTCAACTCATGGCAACCACATGTGTGGCAGAGTGGAACATAGAACTCCCTATGGTAATTTTTACGGAAGCACTGCACCAGGCTTTGCCTCCATGAAGCCACTCGGTAGCTTCAAGCTACCAACCACTGAT